AATCCTTCTGATCCAAATTCAAGTGCAGTTTGTGGATTAAGTAAAACCTGTGCAAATGCTATCCTAAAGCTATAATTGCTACCTCCTCTTAGAGCAAGAGCCACAAGTTTAAGAGAACCTCCAAATGGTGCACCAATTCTGTCTGGGTCAATACAGAGGTAGTCCTGAAAAATCTTCAGATCGGGGAAGTCTTAGAGACCACAATCGTCTAGTTGAAACTGAGCCAAAGCCTGTTGTTCCCCTTCCAGTCCTGACAGATTTTAGACACTGGGAAAGAACTTCAGTGGCATCACTTGTTTGGTCCTGAATGAAGAGGTATAATTGGGTGTCATCAGCATAGTGATCCAATGCTGCCTGATAACCTCCACATGTGCCCTAATGTAAATGTTAAATAGGAGCAGGGAGAGAGCAGAGCCCTGAGGAATTCAGCAAAGCAATGTCCTTGAATTGGCTCTATCCCACATTACCAATGTCTTTATTTTCAGCCAAACATATGCCCATTCATAGCAGTTAGTTTGCAGAGGCTTTATTTTTGATATTAAATAATATAAGAAGTAGCAGGCAGGATGCCTGTGCAAGTGCATGTATGTCCCCAAAAAGTTCCAAACAAATTTGGAACATTACCTTCATGAGTTCCAGCAACCAGAACCTAAAGCAGTGGGTGACAGTGATATCAGGTTCTATTCAAAAGCCAAATGTGAGAAAATTGCTAGTTTGGGTTCAAATGACAGTTTCAGGAGCAAGAGAGTCAAGGTTTTTTGTGCAGTCCACAACAAAATTTTGCTGCTACCTATGGTATGTTAAGCAAAGTTCCTACCAGGAGGATCAATCAAAGAACACCCTTGCTAGGTGAAGAGCATTCAGAGTTATTTTATTATGCATCATGTATGGTGTGCCTGGGAATTGGATGTTGCTCCAGCAATTGATTATCCCCTTTACCAGTGCCCAAAATCACAGCTCAAAGACTCTGTCTACTTCCTGAAGACCAACAATTCAAATTCTTCCCTGATAATTGGGTGAATCATGCCTCTGTAGGACCTGTACAAATAGAGTCTAATTAAGAGCAAATCCTACAGATTCCTAAAATTGCCTTCCGAGCACCGTTTCCCAAAACCCCCCTTAGCCAGGAGGGATTGGATCACCCTACACAGGGTGGCCAGTCAGTTGTCTGTGGATGTGACAAGTGTGTAAAATTAAGTTTTGCGCACATATTGCCACAAGGTAATGCCTGAGAAGGATTCTTTTCAGTTGGGTTCATTCTTTGCTTTCTTCCAGTAGTGCTCTAAACTAGTGTTTCTTAAATGATCTGTGGTGAAGGATCAGTTTTTAAAATTTCCAATCTGTCATGGACTGTAATTTTGTAAAATATGATAAAAATGAATTATTAGAAAAAATGAAATTAGAAATCCCATTGACAAAATACAAGCCCAGGTTTTTTTACATTTAGCAAACATAAAATTGCATTGATCATATGCTTGAATATTGTGGCAATGTAAGATTGCTATAAATATTTTAAACATTTTTGAATTTGTGGACTGGTAACAGTTCATGGGCTGTGCTGTTCCATAGACCACACTAAGTAGGACAGTTCTAGGCATCTCTTATGCTGCTTCATTTCCGGGAGTCCTGTAAAAACCAAAGACCTCTTTAGGATTCTTGTGCATAGAGAATCTATCTAGCCCTAATACAGTCCTAGGATAGAACCATTCACTCATTCCAATAGCAACTAAGGCTTCAGTGGAACTACGGAGTATATTTGTCAGCCCTTTGAGTTAGTCTAGACAAGAAGCATGAACCACACGTACTAATACTACCTTTATTATAAAGATACAGTCATAGGATCTTGCAAATCTGAAAGTGTCTCTCCCCTCCATTAATTTTACTGTCCTGATAACTAGGGAGGCTCCCTTTTGAGATGCTTTTTCTACACACCACCCCTCCTATGGATTTAGATTTTGTTTACCAGACAAAATCTACACTGGGCTGTTTCTCCTGTCTTTTAAGGTCATTTCTACATAACCTTTACAATACCCAAGCTCTAAGAATAAACTATGTCTTTGAAAATCCACAGTGTCCATCAGGCACATGAGGCAGACCGATTTCCCCACATGTTAGTGTAGCTTCAGAGAACTGTAAAGCCAAGAGGGTATAATCTGTATATGGGAAGAGACAGATGATAATGTCTCCTGACTTCCAATCATTTGCCAGTGTTCTGAGATAAAAAGCAGATTCAACATGTGTGTGAACCCCCCTCTCCCCAGTGAGTTGGGTCAGAAGAAATCTGGGTTGGTTAGGTCCATTGTGGCTATGAACTCCTGGCAGCCTCTGACTCCACAGGCATATTAAAGTCTTCCGTACCATAAACCTGGGGAACTTCATTGCCATCCCGTTCATGGACTCCAGCACCTCAAGAAGGCATGCTGCTGAAAGGCTGGTACATGGTCCGCTCAGATCCTACAATCCGACCTCACAAAAAAGAAACAGCTATCTGCAGAGCAGTAGTTCTATTAGCTGTTCTGTTAGGGTGCCACAAATATAAGAATTGTTACAATGTAGGACCTGAGTTCATGATTGATGGCATACTTGAAACTTAGCTGGGTTCAGCTGTCCCTGAACAGCACTTAGCTAAGTTTCAATAATGCAAACAAGGCCAGTCTTTTCATCTCCATTTTAAATCATGGATGAGAAAGACTATTACAGCCTAAATGTATAACATTTTGGAACTTATGTTTTTGGAGTCCCAACAGCTAGCCTTTGGGGCCAAGCAAAGGGAACTAAAAGGCAATATCAGTACCAAACATCAAGATTGGCATTCCTCTGGCTCCTTCCATATCTCCCTTTGCCCGTATACAATAAATAAGTAAGAGTCAGCATACAGTTAACCTAAGAGGAAGTGCTTTCTGCAAGAAAATTTTAAATAGAAATAAAAATAAGATTCTTTTTGGCCTCTTCCTTTCTCTCTTCAAGTTGAATAGTAGAAAATGCAATCTCATTTATGCAGTGATGAGTCTAATTTATCTCATTATACTTGTCTAATGTAGGATAATTGCCTTAAATGTCACTGGTCTTAAAATTATTGATCAAACTAGATGGGTCAGCAGCCTAATCACCTCTTTGGACGTCCTTTGCATTTTCCCTTCCTTTGAAATACTTTTCAGAGCAATTGACATCTTCCATTTTATACAAAATCTGAAGAAAAAAAGTTTGGTTAAGCTAGGCCAAATCTTCATTAATATAGATTTTATTTGAAGCTAGAGTAAAAAGGTAAAGGTAAAGGTTCCCCTCAGTAGATATTTGTGTTTGGCTTAGTACATTTGCAAAAGTAGTCAACTATGTTTCAGTCAATAAGCTAAAGTTTAGTATGATATATAAACAAAGTCATTTTTCCACCAGGGAATGTCTCTCAGATTAGTTAACTTTTCGTTTTTCTGAAGACCATGCTATTTCTTCCTTAGCTCCTTTATCTTTCTACTCATTGAACAGAATGGTACACTGTTTTTCCCTTATGCTCCATTATGGTGTCTAAAACTTGAATGAATAATATAGGTGTAGGTCTTTTTGTTATGGAAATCCAGTGATGAATTTATTCTATAAAATAAAAGGTTTAGATTTTTTTCTTATAATTTCAGTACTTTTATGCTAATATTTATTGAATTTCTGTTGAATTCACTTAATAATTCAATCCCCCACCCCAATGTAAGGCTTACTGCATGGAAAAATAATTTCCTTGTGGTTAAGTGTATCAGCCTTGGGAAATACTTTATCAGAAAGTGTGACCTTACTTTAGTATTACAGGAATGTCAATACTAACCTTGCCAGCAGGCATGCTATTACAAATGTCTATGACAGCCATAAAGTTAATTATTAAAATCTAAATATAACCTCATAATATGTGATATAAAATAATAAGAAACCGAGCACCAATAAGAAAAAAGACAAGTATTACTATAAATTGCCTTTCTTCAACTGTTATTTGAATTTTAACATTAAAATATTTAACTTTTATTTTAGAAGGAAAAAGGATTGTTCTTAGATACTGATCTTATTCCAGTTCAAAGTTGTTATTTATAGGCCGGAATATTACATGTGATTATTAATATTTATTTTATTAAAATGTGTAGAAAGATTTTCATTTGTTTACTGAGCAACTGGTAACCATATTTGGAAGAGAAAAACAACTTTGAAAAAGAATGCGATAAGAGAAGCTGAAAGGGGAATTTCTTATTTACATCAGACGGTATAGAAGTAACATGCATCTGTGTATTGGTTTTTTTTCTGAATTGCATTAGCTGGTCCTATTTTCAGCTGCAAAAGCTGGATTCCCAATATAAGCTGATAGTCATGAAAAGTAAAGAACTGAATCAACAAGTAAAAGTTAACACTTAAGTGAGGAATCAAAGCCAAGGAATTTGGTACATATTGGAATTGGTGCCCAAGGCCATGCTAAAAAGAATAACATGAGTGCAACCAGAAAGTGAGAATGTAAAACAATACTTTCTCCCCAAGAGATCCAATTTGGATAAATACAGTCCTTTCTGGACTAGAACTTACTTAATTGCTTAGTGAGAAACTCTAATTTACTATTCAATGGCTTGCTTCTTGGGGCCAAGTTCTTGGTTTGTCCCACAGCAGCTTTCAGTAGCATGGTATTTTTTCATAAATTTCAGGAGCAGAGCCAGTGGATGTGAGCTCAGTCCCTTCATGCTTACTAAACTCGCGCCATGTAACTGGAAAAAGGTTGCTATTACAATACTCTCATGTTTTCTGAATACAGTATCAAATCATTGCAACAGAGCAATGTCTTCCACTGGATGATAGGGAGTAGTGGAGAACTGTGATGTATTTAGGGTAGGTGATTATTTTCAGTTGCAGCTCTGATATGGTGGAACATTCTTCTTAAGATTTGATTGGCATCCACATACTGGCCCTCAGAAACTTTTAAAACTTTTAAAAATAGAGGGATTTTTCTTTGAAGATCCTTTGGAAATTAAAGATCACTGTTAGGCTTACATTAAGTGCTTTTATTTTGCTTGTATTTTTATTGGCTTTTATGTTTTTATTCTGTTTCTGTGTTGTAATCTACCAGATAATTTTTGTTGAATTTGGTGATATATAAATACAAAAATCAATTGGTCAATCAATAAAATGTAATATATGATAGTTCATATTGGGAGGAAAAAAACACTTCCTGTAGATAGAAAAATGTGCTAATCCTTCATTTCATGGAACAATATTTCCATTGGTATGATTCTAGATGGTCTCATTACCAGTACATATTCTACAGTTTATTCCATTTTATCATTTCTTATTTCTGACCGTCTTATTCCTTCACTCATCTGTATACTTGGTAAGCTATCAACTCATCAGTAGCATCAGCAACATTCAATACCCAGAATACCATTATAAACCTATGCAGCAATAATACATATTTGTAAGATGTTCGCATAATTGCAAAGGATGCATAATTGCAAATTATGGATAAAGTTGTAAACAACAGATTTCTCCTGGGAGGTAAATCATGTATAAAACTATGTCCTCTTTGAGTCAAATTCAAGTTCCAGTTGCTTCGTGGAAGTTATGCAGCTTTCTTTAGCAACAATAGGGAGATGAATTGCCACTGGTTTCTTCTGAAATTTTGTTCCCAAATTCCTGTGCTTTCTTTGTGATCTCCCATACAGTTAATGCCTAGGTGAGATCTTGTTTATCTTTTAGAATTCAGTCAAGGTCAGCAAGATATTGTTATTTCTGTAGGCACAAAACAAGTATGTCTAGATCAGTGACGGTGAAAAGGTCTCATGGAAACATTGCGCGCATGCCCTCGGTGCTGCACACCAGAAAAGGTGAACTTCCGGGTTCTAGCACATACGCGTGCCCGGCGATCAGCTGGCCAGCATGCATGCACAGGCCAGTTTTCGGCACTGCTGCGTGCGTGAAGGGACACACTCCAGAAAAGCCGAACTTCCAGGTTCTGGCATGTGCAACAATCAGCTTGCTGCCGGGTATGCGCACATCAGTTTTCGGCACTGCAGCATGCACGAAGAATAGCTGATCGTCTTGCGCGCATGCGCACCAGAAAACAGGCAAGGCCGTGCATGCCGGGCGACATGGCTTCACATGCCACTTTGGGCACGCGTGCCATAGGTTCGCCATCTAGATAGTCATGCCTAATATTATTGTAAGACATATAAACACATTTAGTTTAGAATTTTCATTTACAGTATAATAAGATTGACTATATTGAACAAGTATGTATTTTAGGTCTGTAAGAATATTTGGAATGTTTGTGGCATATCATGAGATGCTTTCACAAAATGGTTACCATTATGGAAATGGAAAACCATAACACACTTATTTATAGGAAGGCAAAATGGGGCAGTTGCTGCCTGCACCAACCCAAACCACCAGCTTACTTGTTATTAACTGAACAAGCTGTATTCTTTGTATTTAAGAAATGTAAGTATTTTGTTGATCGTGTTTGGGTCAAATGAATGCAAAATATAGAGCCAATGTGAAGAGCTGATTTCATGAAGACCACGAACATTTTAAGTAGCCACTGTGTGGCAGAAATCAGTGAATTGAACTGAGATCAAAGTCTTTAGACCAGTTCAAGGCACAGGCAGCATTATATGCTATAAAGTCTCCCTTTCAATTAACAGCTTTCTGATATTTATAATGCACTCTGGGTTTTACTCTCATGCTTCTTTCCTTTATTTTAAAATTACAATAGTAAAAATGCTTAAGCTTTTATAACAGGAAAAATATGAATCTGAAGATATCCAACATAGATTAGCCTAATAACAGAATGGAAACCAAGACACTTCAAATTTATCTTATTATTGAATGCCATGTTCTAAATTGCTGAATCATATATCTTGCCAATATGATATCCCTTATATCTAATAAAAAGCCATTTTTAATTGGACTATTCACAGTAGCATGAATAATTTATTACACAGTGCATGTATTACATAGTGCAAGTATTATACAGTCATTGATAATAGTGAGAAGCAAGTGGTATGTAAATAATTAGTAGCAAGTAAGTAATAAGTAGTAGTGAATGTATTATACACTAGGTAATTGGTAATCCTTTGGCATGTCCTAAATTGTGAGTGATTTCGGCAAATATCTAATTGAATAAAGAACCATGAATTAATGTAGTGCAGTGATTGTATTGGATTAGAACTGGGGTGATTCAGATTCAAATACATCCTCAGCCATGAAAGCTGGTGAGCTTGGCCCAGTCATTTTATAACTCAGCATATCTCACAGAATTGCTATTGGGAAAAATGCAGTAGGAAAAGCTTTGAACTCCTGGAGTTCAAAGAATATGCTCTTTTTCTTCCACATTATTGTTTTCTTTCTAACATTATTGTTATAAGTTGGAATCAATATGATATGGAAATAGTTTACTCTTGATTTGTTAAAGAGGTTTTTTAAAATGGCTGATGGAATCTAAAAATGACATTTTTTCATAGCAGGTACATTGAGATCATATATTACTACTAATCTTGAATACATGTAGATTATAAGAGAGAAATCATATAAGATTAAATGTGGATTATTCTGTAATGGCTCTAATAAATATCAGGAGATTGAAAGAGCTTTCTAGTTTTATCCCAATAAAGCTGAAACTGATTTAAATATTAATTCCATTGACAATTATTTTATTTTTAGAGAGGAATGGCCTAATATGATAAAGATCCATGAGCCTTTAAAATCCTATTCTTCAAAGTGCATGTGTTAGAGAAATTAAAAAGAGGTTGTTTGGAATGGGAGTAATTGAGATATTGTAAATAACAAGACATTTACCACTGTTTTCTGGAATATGAGTGTGGCATTTTATTGAAGCATATTTTTGGATGTAATTATTAAAACATTTAATCAATCAGTTTGGTGTAATGGTAAGGCATCAGGTTGGGAACCAGGAGATAGTGAATTCTAGTCCTGCCTTAGGCATGAAGCCAGTTGGGTGACACTGCACCAGTTACACACTCTCAGCCCCACACATGTAGTGGGGAAGCACTTCTGAAAAATCTTGCCAAAAAAACCTGCATCGACTTGCCCAGAAATCAAAAGCTAGCTCAAACAAACAGTCAAACAAAATGCCGCCCTAAGAACAACATGTCAGAGATCCTGTTCAGATATAATGCTAAATAGAAGCAGGTAAAGATTACCAATTTTTTTTTAGCGATTTGGTCATGTCTGATCTATGCCACTGTACAGTAGTAAAAATCTCACAGATATTTGAAGATATTTTTCCTCCTTCATCTCGATGTGTTATGTTTTTAGAGTAGGTGTGGGCAGCTTATTGTCTCAAGGCTACATACATTTCTTGGCCTGGTTCTCAGCCTAATTTCAAAAGTAAGCAATAAGTGAGGAATTCAGATCTCTTACAAAAATGATCTGCGCCTTTCCATTAGCCTGCGGTGGAGAGAAAAGATAATAAAAAGGGGGTTTTGAAAAAGAGAGAAAGATAGAAAATGAAGTGCCTGTAAGTTTGCAAGCCTTGGGTTCTGGCCCCAATTACTATTTAGTTCCTACCTGTTCCAGAATTTCCTACTGGCATATAGTGTGATCCTAACATATGCCTGTACTAATGTGACCTTTTCAACTAAAGAATGGATTCTTAGTTTGTTCCAGAACTAACAATATGACACAACAGTAACTGACCTTCCTAAGAATTCTGAACATTTAATTAAAAAACTATTATTTCATTGGGTCTTTCATGGCTGCTGATCAATTTTGCATTGTTTTAGTTTGATTAAAAATAAATTTTCTTTGCTTTTTTGCTGCAATTTTATTGTCCTGTATTTTTAATAATACATAATATTCCTGATTAGGGAAACAGATGATCTGCAAATATTTTAAATCCTGAAACAAAGTTAACTGCAAACAGCAAAGTAGGACAAATCATGGCAACCCCAACTCCATAGTGACATCACGCAGAAGCCTCTTTTTTTAAGTGTCTATGTTGTGACTCTGCTATGAGGTAAGACTTAGATAGTGATGTCCATATTCTTTTGGATGCTATAAAAGCACTTATTTTCCAGGTAGGGGACTTGAGACTCCAGGCATGGGTTGACTCTTGTCCTATAACTCTATAGACTGAGTTTAAACTGAAGAGACGCCCTCTGCTGATGCTCTCAGTTTCAACTCAGTCTTGAGCTCAGTCAGACCTGTGAAGAAAAGCTTTTGTGGTTTTTCTTCATTTTTTTAGGGAAGAGTTGAACCTTGGAGTTTTAGATTTCTTGTAAGCTTGCAGAGAATCAGCGGAGCGGTCTTAGAGAGCCTCGGTTCGAGCCATGGCTTCTGCAAGTGAAAGTTTTTCCGGCACTAAGTGCTCGGCTGTTAGGAGGTCGAATACACAAGACTCACTGACAGCGGGTGCCATTTTGAAAGAGCTGGAAGGCCCGTTAGCCCGAAAAAGCTTGGGAAACGTTTTCTTTGCTGGCGCGATGGCTGGGAGCAAAGCCAAAGAGCGGAAAGCCCATGGCAGGCAGGAAGAGACACCAGAGGTAGCGCGAACGTGCGGGGAAAATGCGACACGGCTAGCCTGACTCCCTGTGGGGGCAGTGTTTGCCGGGCTGCAACTTGAGCACGAAAAGCTGAAGGAGAGAGCAATGTTTCAGCATGCATCTATGGAGAGCTCTCAAGGCTGCCTGCCCAGAAGGGAATGCAGACCTTGAGCAGCAAGGGCCACAAACAGTGGATCTCCCCCTGCTTTGCTGCCTGCCTTGTAAAGAGAGCAGCCTCGGGGTAGTGGCCAGCTTCCAGGCATTTGGACAGTTGCAAGACTGCTGAACTTTCTGAAATGCTAAAGCGCTTTCCATTAAGAGACCCTCTAAGGCTCAGGAGAGGGCTGAGAAAAGATTGCAGAAGGCCTTAGAAAAACAGGTTGCTAAAGAGGCATTAGATGCAGAGAAAAGGCAACATCTCAGCCCCATAGGGGATAGAGAGATCATTGCTAATCCCTTTCCTGACCAGGCAATGGGGGCTGCTGAACTGGATCTAAGTCAGATGTCTGAACCAAGCCCTTCTACAGGGTTCAGTCCTATACATTCCCTTTCACCTCTGCCTTAGGGTAGAGAGGTGAACAGGAGTGGCAGGCCCCCACCCGAGGAGTCGTTCACTTGGACAGCGGCGGGGATCCGCCTGGCAGAGGATTCTGGTGGGGATATTTATTTATTTATTTATTTATTTATTTATTTATTTATTTATTTATTTATTTGTTTGATTTTTATACCGCCCTTCTCCCAAAGGACTCAGGGCGGTGTACAGCCAAAGATAAAACAAGTACCCATATAAAATTTAAACACAATTTAAAAACACATTAAATAATTTGGCCCCGACGTCATTAAAACAAAAAACAACCCATTAAAATTAATATTCAGGCCAACCCAGCTTGTTGGAACAATAATGTCTTGAGGGCATGGTGAAAGGTGTGTAAGTCAGGGATCATCCGTATCTCCAGGGGCAATTCATTCCAGAGGGCGAGTGCTCCCACAGAGAAGGCTCTCCCCCTGGGTGTCGCCAGTCGACATTGTTTGACCGACGGTACCCTGAGGAGTCCCTCTCTGTGGGAGCGCACTGGCCGGTGGGAGGCTATCGGTAGCAGAAGGCGATCTCGTAAGTACCCAGGTCCTAAGCCATCGAGCGCCCTAAAGATGGTAACCAACACCTTGAATCGCACCCGGAAGACCACCGGGAGCCAGTGCAGCTCGCGCAGGAGTGGTGTTACATGGGAGCACCGTGTCGCTCCCATAATCACCTGCGCGGCCACATTCTGGACCAGTTGGAGCCTCCGGGTGCTCTTCAAGGGGAGCCCCAGCTAGAGAGCATTACAGTAGTCCAGACAGGAAGTGACAAGGGCATGAGTGACTGTGCGCAAGGAGTCCCGATCCAGAAAGGGATGCAACTAAATCAGGCAAACCTGATAAAAAGCCCCCCTGGCCACAGCCGTCACATGATCTTCTAGAGATAGCCGCGCATCCAGGAGGACATCCAAGTTACGAACCCTCTCTGAGGGGGCTAAGATCTCACCCTCAATAGTCAGCGATGGCACCAGCTGGCTATACCGGGATGCCGGAAACCACAGCCACTCTGTCTTGGAGGGGTTGAGTCTGAGCCTGTTTCTCCCCATCCAGATCCGCACGGCCTCTAGGCACTGGGACATCACGTCAAGGGCATCATCGGGGTGGTCCGGGGTGGAGATGTACAACTGAGTATCATCAGCATACTGATGGAACTTCACCCCAAAACCACGGATGATCTCACCCAGCGGTTTCACATACATGTTGAACAGGAGGGGTGAGAGGACCGACCCTTGAGGCACCCCACAAACACGGTGCCTCAAGGTCGACCTCTGCCCCCCTGCCAACACAGACTGCGTACGGTCAAAGAGGAAGGAGGAGAACCACCGCAACATGGTGCCTCCTACTCCTAACCCCTCCAACTGGCGCAGCATGATACCATAGTTGACGGTATCAAAAGCTGCTGAGAGGTCTAATATCAACAACCAATGCGACCAATGCCGTTTCTGTGCTGTACCCAGGCCTGAAACCCGACTGGTACGGCTCTAGATGAATAGTTTCATCCAGGTACTGGGGAAGTTGTCGCGCCACCACATTCTCAACAACCTTCGCCACAAAGCGAAAGTTGGAGACTGGACGATAGTTTGCTAATACAGCCGGGTCCAGGGAAGGCTTCTTGAGGAGGGGTCTCACCACCGCCTCTTTCAAGGCGGAGGGAAGGAAACCCTCACTCAAAGAAGCATTAATAATCTCCTGGAGCCAGCCTCGTGTGACCGCCCGGGAGGCCAGCACCAACCAGGAGGGACACGGGTCCAATAAACATGTGGCAGCACTAAGCCTACCCAGAATCCTGTCCACATCCTCGGGAGTCACAAGGTCAAACTCCTCCCAGATATGCCACAGATGGTCAGGCAAGAGTAACTCACTTGTGAAGGTTCAGATTCTGGCAGCGGTATTAAGATCTTACTGCTGGTGGGTATCCGACCTCATGAACAGGGTTTGTGTTTTCAGGGAACAGGATTGTCTGATCATAACCACAGACACCAGCCTGGGAGGCTGGGGAGCCCATTGCCAGAATTTCGTGGCACAGAGAAATTGGTCACGGGTGAATTTATGCCAAGACATAAATTGGTTGGAGTTGAGGGTGGCTTGAATAGGCTTCAAGGAATTCAGGGAACAGATTGCAGGCCATCATATCCTCCTCACCAACAATGTGGCCACAAAGGCACACATAAACAGACAAGGGGACACTCGGTCGAAGTTGCTCATGACAGAGATGGAAGGGCTATGTTGCTGGGCAGAGAAGAATGTATGATCCATCAGAGTGGAGCACATTTCGGGCTCAGAAAATTTGCAGGCAGATTGGCTTAGCAGGGCCACCATAGACCATTCGGAGTGGCAACTGCACCCAGACTTGTTCAGGGAGATATTGGAACAGTTTGGTCAACCAGTTCTGGACCTTTTTGCCTCCCCTGCAAACAGCCAACTCCCGGTTCCCAGCACTGGGGTTGGAGGAAGTCAATGACCTTCGTTGCCCATGGCCCCAGGGACTTCTATATGCTTTTCCACCCCTGGCATTGATCCCGAGGATGGTCAACAGGATCTTGCATGAGAGGGCAGAGGTGATACTCATAGCGCCTCACTGGCTCAGATGTCCGTGGTTTACGGATCTGGTCAGCCTGTTGATTGCCAAACAGGCTGGCAGGGTCTCCCTCAGCCAGGGTCCCATTTACCACTTGGATCCACAATGGCTGCACTTGACCGCGTGGCAGTTGAGCGGAGCGGAACTTCTCCTCCAGTGTCATACGGATGATCCAGGCTGTGAGACGAGTGTCCACTACACGGATATATAACGCTACCTGGAGGATTTTTTTCTGAGTGGTGCACCAAATGGACCATTGAGCCCACGATGGTATCAGTCCCTCAATTATTAGACTTCCTTCAGGACGGCCTAGAGAGAGGGTTAGCTCCGGCTACTATCCGCAGACAAATAGCAGCATTAGCCTCGGTTCTGTCCTGTGGGGCGCGGGAGTCTGTGGCACACCACCCGGAGGTGAGGAGATTCCTTTGAGATGCCACCAATTTAAAACCACCAGTGGTGCACTGATACCCCATCTGGGATCTCTCTAAGATGTTGTAGGATCTCACCAAGGCACCCTTCGAGCCCATTAGAACTCTACACTTAAGTTTTCTAACGTACAAGGTGGTCTTTCTAGTGGCCATAGCATTGGCCAGGAGGATATCGGAGCTGGCCGCACTCTCCGTAAGGGAAGATTTATGCATTTTCTACATGGATAGGGTGGTGTTGAGGCTGGACCCAGCCTTTATGCCCAAGATCAACTCCTGATTTCATCGAGCACAGGAGTTGATTTTGTTGGATTTCTGTCCCAATCTGTCTCACTGCAGGGAAAGGGACTGGCACGCTCTGGATATGGGGAGGGCCTTACATATCTATATAAAAAGAACAAAGGCATTCCGAAAAACGAAGGCACTTTTTGTGTCATTCCAAACAGCTACGATGGGGCAGAAGGTTTCGGCATCGATGGTGGGCAGGTGGCTTTGTGCGATC